TCCTGCATCTTGTATATACATTTTTCTAATTTAGGAAGGGGAAGGGAAATAACAAAATGTTGAAATAAGGATACAGGATGACCCATTGTAACAATGAGAGGTACAAGACAGTATGTTGAAAACAAACTTTACAACTTTGAAGGGGGAGGGAGGAGTTGGGGAGGTGGAGAGGAAAGGGATGGTAGGGGAAAAACAAAGGAGGGGGTAACAATCTCGATAAGAAATGGACTCATTACCTTGCTCAAGTAATTGTAACCCCTCTGTATAGTATCTTTATAATAAAAAAATATTTAATTTTAAAAAAAGAAGTCTTCTTAATTACAATACTGAAAGCACCCTCAACAAAAGAAAAATAGGCTGGGGATATAATTTTGTGGTAGAAGGCTTGCCTAGCATTCAAAGACTCTGTGTTTGATTTATTGGCAGGGGTGGGGGGGCACAACTAAAAATAGGTAAACTAGATTTCATAAAAATTAAATTTTTTTTTTTGGGGGGGAGGTCTGGTCATGGGGTCTGAACCCTGGGCCTGGGTGCTGTCCCTCAGCTCTTCAGCTCAAGGCTAGCGCTCTACCACTTAAGCCACAGCACCACTTCCGGCTTTTTTCTTTTTGCTTATGTGGTGCTGAGGAATTGAACCCAGGGCTTCATGCATGCAAGGCAAGCACTCTACCACTGAGCCACCTTCCCAGCCCCCAAATTAAAAGTTTTTAAAGGCAGACATGATAGCACGTGCCAGTAATCCCAGCCCTTGGTTATGGAAGCTCTAGGCCAACCTGCACATCATACACATTGTCTCCAAACAAAACAAAACAACTTTCTGAAACAATACAGTGAAGCCCTTTGGTACAATTGATATGCATTTAAAACAATGAATCACAGACACTGGGTGCTGGTGGCATATACCTGTAATCTTTGAGGTCTAAGAATTGTAGTTTGAAGCCAGCCCAGGCAGAATAGTCTGTGAAACTCTTAGCAAAAATCCTGAAATGGAGTATGGCTCAACAACTAGATTGCCAGCCTTGAGTGAAAATGCTAAGGGACAGTACCCACGTCCTTAGTTCAAGCCCCCATGCTCACTAAAAAAACTTTTTTCTAAAAAAGGAAATTTTAGTTGGGGATTTAGCTCAGGGGCTCAGGGGTTCAACATCTGCCTAGCAATGCAAGGCCTTGAGTTCAGTCCTCAGCTCTTGAAAAGAAAGGGAAAAGAAAAGAAAAGGAAAAAAACTATGGGCTAATAATTTTTTAAAAGCTTAAAAAAGAAACAAAAAGAAAAATTAATGACAGGCTCAGAGGCTCAGGTGGGGAAAATATGAACCAGCAAGAAAGAGAATGCTAGCCAAGAGTGTAAATATGAGGATGAATATGGTAGTTTATTTTTCTTGTATTAAAATAAAACAAAAAAATTTGAACTTAAGAATTGGGAAGAAGGGCTGGGAAGGTGGCTCAGTGGTAGAGCACTTGCCTTGCATGCCTGAGGCCCTGGGTTTGATTCCTCAGCACCACATAAGCAAAAAGAAAAAAAGGCTGAAGTGGCACTGTGGCTCAAGTGGTAGAGCGCTAGCCTTGAGCTGAAGAGCTGGGGAACCGTGCCCAGGCCCAGAGTTCAGGCCCCATGACCGGACCCCCCCCCAAAAAAAAGAAGAGGGAAGAAGTAAGGGAGAATAATAAAAGAGATAATGAGGATACCTTGTAAACATGTGTGGCAAATGTCACAATAAAATTCCCTTTGTACATCAAATGTATATAAAAGACAATATATATGAAATGGTGTATTATTTAGCCTTAAAAAAGGAATGTAATTCTGGGGCTGCGAAGGTGGCTCAGTGGTAGAGCACTTGCCTTGCATGCATAAGGCCCTGGGTTTCATTCCTCAGCACCACAAAAGCAAAAAGAAAAAAAAAAGCCGGAAGTGGCACTGTGGCTCAAGTGGTAGAGCGCTAGCCTTGAGCTGAAGAGCTGAGGGACAGGCCCCACGACTGGACCCCCCCCCAAAAAAAGGAATGAAATTCTGATACACACTACTATACTATTGCATTCTCCCTTCCTTTTTCCTACTTTTCAGTCCTATTTGCTGGGTACTCTACTTCTTCAAGAACATACTCTCATGCTCTGAAAAGCTCTCATCTGTGAGCCAGAGGCCTCAAATGCCAAGGCAGGTAGTGTTTACTAGAGCCTCCCTCACAGCTGCAGGTAAACACAGGGGCAGGCAGTACAGCAGCAAGAGAGACAACTACAGCAAGCCCAAATCCAAACCTAAGGTAATTAACCGTCCTAATCCTAGAAGGAAACTGCAAACCAACTAAAGTATATGAACGAAAACAGTATTTAGGATTTTGGTTTTCTAACCCCAATCTCTGTTATCCAAACAAAATAAGAGGCTTAACTTAACCCCCCCTTTCTTTCTCTCTCTCTCTCTCTCCCCTCTCTCTACTCTCTCTCTCCCAAGCATGCATATACACACATTTCTCATTTTATTTTTTATTTTCTGAACTTCAAAGGGGGGTTACAATTTACATTTCCCATTTTATATTTCCTTCTTTTCTGGTCTGTCTCCTACTGTCACTCTTTCCACAGACTTCATTTCCTCATTCGTTTATTTTTAATGAAGGTTTGAATTCAAGGCCTAGCACTTGCTAGAATGGCACTCTACCACATAAGCGACACTTCCAGCATGGCTTTTTGCTGGTTATTTTGAAGAAGGAGTCTAGTAAATGCTCCTGCCTGGGCTGGTCTTGAACTTCTATCTTCCAGATATCATTCACCTGAGTAGCTAGGATTACAGGCATGTGCCACCAACACAGAAAACTAAGCCCCCAACAATGAGAAAAGACATTTTCACACGTTCCACACACCTTTTCTGACAAATAGAATGTATTTTTATGGGCTTTCACTGCACTTTTTCACAGTGACTTTCAGTAAAAGTGAACAGAGGCATAATGGGTGGGCATGGGCGTTTTTCTGTTGCTGAAATAAAGACAGTTGCAAATTTCAGAAGTACATAGGTCACACTGGAAACTAATGTCTGTCATTTCTCTTTCTCTGTACCAAACCTAACCTACACCAGGTCTGAAAGAATGTTCCTGCTTTTATAAAACTATGAAAATCCTGGGTAATCACTTCATGTTTCACCTTTTATCTCATGAGGATAATCCTTGTTTAGAAAGCTGTTGAGAAACACATTATTAATATTATTAAACAAAGTCTCACCATAAAATATATTATGAAGAAATGAAGTTACCAGAGCAGAATAAAGAAATGATAGAACAGCTATACAATGTGATATTCTGCATTCACTAAATAATGTATATTCTATACCAGCACATAAAAGCTTCTTCTTTCTTGGGGGGGAGGGGGGAGGCTGGGAAGGGATGTGAAGGGTAAACAAAAGGAGGAGGCTGCAATGCTTGGTAAGAAATGTACGCATTATCCTGCCCATGTAATTGTAACCCCTCTGTACAGTATCTTCACAAATAAAATTTAAAAAAAATAAAAAAAATCTTCTTCATTCTTATTTATAATATATGCCTATATATGTCAATATATGCCAATATATTAATAACTGAAAGATAAAAGAGCAAGGACAGAAAAAAGAACCAGAAAGAAGTTACACAGAAACTGTATTCTTATACACAAATGTACCCAGATAAATTCTACTTTCCCTAAGATCTCATATTCTTATGTTGAGACATAAACACATGTAAAACAGAAACATTTTTAAAACATTCCTAAAAATATTTCAAATTAATCTCAGAATTACACTTTACTTCCTTAAGAGTAAATATTTTTGTGTTGTATGTGTAGCACAAGAAGAATTTCTGGAAATCAAACTTGGTCTTGAACTGCTGAACGCAGATGGGTGATGGACTTCCCATCAGCCATTGCCTTCACGGTACCTTAATTTACTGGTGCTCCATAATCCACTGATATGGTTCCCAACATACAGAAGAGGCAGCGGAAATAGCTTCAATAAAAAGAAAGACAGTATACCTAGTTAGAACACCAATAATGAACATTCCTCCACATACAAAAATCGTGATATACCCCATCAGTAGTCAAAATATTTTGTCCCTTTGCCTGTAATGACTAAATTTTCCAGAGTCCAAACATACCCTTAAGTTTTTCTACATGATCATTATCCTGGGGTAGTGGTAGAGGGGTGATAGAATGTGGCTCACATCTATAACCATACCTACTGAGGAGGCTCAGATTTGAGAGTTATGGTTCAAAGCCAGCATGGGCAGGAAAGTCCATGAGACTCATCTCCAATTAACCACCAAAAAGCTGGAAATGGCACTGTGGCTCAAAAGTCATTGAGCACTAGCCTTGAGCACAAAAGTTCAAGGACAATGCCTAGGCCTTAAGCCTGAGTGCAAGCCCCAGGACCAACCCACACGAAAAAGAAACTGAAATCTTGAATTTGCCTACTTTAGTAAAATATTGTTATTGTCCTAAAGAAGTTGACCAGGCACTGGTGGTTCATGCCTTTAATCCTAGCTACTCAGGAAGGAGATTGAGACCTGAGGATTGAGGTTTGAAGCCAGCTTGGGAAAGTCTGTGAGACTTTTATCTCTAATGAACTTCCAAAAAGTGCAAATATTCCAGGACAATGAGCCATGATGTAATGCAACTACAAGTGCAACTACTGCTCAAGGTTATGGTGGTGAGATGTCTAGGGACCTGCATTGGACCTGCACAGGCAGGATGAGGGATGCAGAATGCTATAGAAGGGGACCTCCTCCTAATTGCCTAGCCAGATTGTTTTTCTGCTCTTTTTGTATCTGAAGGGTCCCATATAAGGCTTATTAGATAGAGGAGCCATATTTTCCCCAAGAGGGGGAACATGGCCTCTGTCACCATCCAGGTAGCAGGAGGGGTCTGAGGGTCAGAAGTGAGGTAGATGGGAGCCCAGGTGGATGTGGGCATAGAGGGAGGGGCCAGTTGTATGGCCGGAACTCCAGGGACGGGAAGGGCTCAGGTCTGGGTGGAGCTGAGGACAAAGGTGAACATAATACTAACAGTATCCTTTCATAATGAAAGCAGTATGGAGGTTCCTCAAAAGACTCCACATAGAGCTCCCCTATGGCCCAGCAATCCCACTTTTGGGCATTTACCCAAATGATCACAAACAAGACCATACTAAAGCTACCAGCACGACTATGTTTATTACAGCATTATTTACCATAATTAAGATATGGAACCAACCCAGATGCCCCTCAGTAGATGAATGGGTCAAGAAAATGTGGTATATATACACAACGGAATTCTATGCTTCATCAGAAAGAATGACATTGCCCCATTTGTTAGGAAATGGAAAGACTTGGAAAAAATTACTAACTTTCTCTCTCTCTCTCTCTCTCTTTTTGTGTTGGTTGTGGGGCTTGAACTCTGGGTTTGGGCACTGTCCCTGCGCTCTTCAGCTCAAGGTGAGTGCTCTACCGTTTGAGCCACAGCACCACTTCCAAAATTACTAACTTTTTATTTATTCATTTATTTATTTATTTATTTATTTATGTTTGGTTGGTCATGGAGGCTGAACTCTGGGCCTGGGCACTGTCCCTCAACTCTTCAGCTCAAGGCCAGTGCTCTGCCACTTAAGCCACAGCACCACTTCCAGCTTTTTCTGCTTCCGTGGTACTGAGGAATTGAACCCAGGGCCTTGTGCATGGGAGGCAAGCACTCTACCACTGAGCCAACTTCCCAGTCCCCGACTTGGAAAAAATTATATTAAGTGAAGTAAGCCAGGCCCAAAGAAACATAGGTCCCATGGTTTCCCTTATTTGCAATAACTAGTATATGTCTGAGTCAAGCAAAAAAGGTCAGATAAGTTGATGTTAGGTGAAATGAACCTCAAGATACGTATTCAAATGTCTTTTCTTTCATGCAATTGTTTCTAATATATTTATAAGATGATTTCTTTGTTGCTTTGTATGTCCCTCCCCCAGGGTATAACCCCTGCTTTCACTGTATTTGATGCTGGTATACTTTGTGGAGGGGAAGGGAAAAAACAAATCATTTAAATAGGGATACAGGTGGACCCATTGCAAGAATGAGACATACAAGTCGTTATGTTGAAAAATGAACTTTACAACTTTGGAGGTGGGGGATGGGGGTGTGGGGGGTGGGGGTGGGAGATGGGAAGGGATGAGGGGGGAAACAAAGGAGGAGGCAACAATGCTTGATAAGAAATGTACTCATTATCTTGCCCATGTTATTGTAACCTCTCTATACGGTATTTTCACAATTAACAAAAAAAAAAAGGTCATATGATAGCACAAAACTTTTCATTTATTTATGGTTCTGTCGGTCATGGGGCTTGAACTCTGGGCCTGGGGGCTGTCCCTGAGCTCTTCAGTTCAAGGTGAGTGCAAGTAAGCCACAACATCACTTCTAGTTTTCTGGTGTTTAACTGGAGTATCATGGACTTGCCTGCCTGGGCTGGCTTTGAACCATGATCCTCAGGTCTCAGCCTCCTGAGTAGCTAGGATTATAGTTGTGAGCCATAGTTACCAAGATGAGCCCAACCTCACTTTCTCCACTAAAAAGACATTAAGCACACAACTTAGACACTTCATTCTTTAAAGCAGTTTGAGATACTAGTATTATCTACCAAAAAATGGTCAAATTTTATGATCAGATTTGCTATAATGTGCAGCAATGGTACTTAACTGGATATCACTGGAAATGAACTATACAATTTGTGGGAGGGGAAAATTAGGAGAGTATGAGGAAAGGGGTGACACTATCCAAAAAGAAATGTACTCATCTGATTTACGTAATTAAAACCCCTCTATACCTTACCTTTAGAGTAACAATTAAATTTTTTAAATAAGGATTTGCTGGAATAAGTGGATACAAAGAAGAGAGGATAATGGGCCTGGGACTTGCTCCTTACTTGATAATATTCTTGTTCACAGTCTCTAAATGACTCCATAATAACACAACTGATGCAGTTACAGTTTTAGGGGGGCTAGGTTTCAAAGAGAGCCAGTTGCTCCTATTTCTGCATGTGTATGGTATATGTGTGGGTGGGTGGAGTGGGTGTATGTATATGTGGTACAGGTAGTCAATGGAATTTTACTCATCTATCAGAAATAGTAATATGCCATTTGAAGGGTAATGGATAGACCTAGGAAAAACTAAGTCATTCCAGCCAGACACCAGTGGTTCACACCTGTAATCCTAGCTACTCAGGAGGCTCAGATCTGAGGATCGAAGTTCAAAGCCAGCCCAGGCAGGAAAGTCCATGAAACTCTGATCTCCAACAAACAACCAGAAAACTGGAAGTGGTGCTGGAGATCAAGTGGTAGAGCACTCGCCTTGAGCTGAAGAGCTGAAGGACAGCGTTCAGGTCCAGAATTCAAGCCCCATGACCGACCCGCCAACCCCCACAAAAATTTCCAAAGGAAGAACTCTAATTAGGGAGAAAATGGAAAGTGTGAAAGGCCAAAAGGGAAGAAAAGCAAATCAAGTAAGGATTATAGAGTATTATTTGATGACAAGAAAGTCAGAATTGAAAGGAGAGGTCAATGGAATGCAAGTCCCTGTCCAGGGAGGGGGGTTCATTTATTCACCAACTTTAGAATTTGCTAAGCTAGGGATGTCTGTTGTAATACCTAAAATAAGACCAAAAAAGACACCAACAAACAAAAAGAAGAAAAATCTGAGACAGAAGAGGTCTGTCCACTTCATATATAATTCACCCTTTAATTCATCAGGAAGACTTAATCAAAATTTTTAGATATGTAACCATACAATCTATCAATCAGCCAGTGTAGATACATAGATATTGATATGGAATAGGGAGAATAGATAGAAATAAAGAAAGATGAATATGGATATAGATGATATAGATGTAGATGATGGAGAAAGACAGAGAACTGACAGAAATACCAAGAAACAAATCCACAAACACAGGTACCAGCTGTGATAGCATTTCTATCTACTCTTTCTACAATGTGATTTTGGCATATCCCCCCCTTTTTTTCCCCAGATGTGGAGACTGTCTTGTCTTCCTGAAGTTGGGTGGGGTAGACTTCACTAATGGAACACAGTAGAAATGATGCCATGTAGCCTCTGAGAAGGACTCAGATAACAAGTTTGAGCCGTCAGAACAAGTTTGCCTGTCAGAACACTCACTCACAAGCCTTCGGCCTCTATGTAACTGTTCTTCACCCCGTAACTGCCATTTTGTAAGGAAGTCCAAGTGAGCCTACACTGGTGAGCACAAGTAGAAGTTCGAGAGGGGGCAGAAGGGAGAGAGAGAGAGAGAGAGAACAGAGACAGAGACAGAGACAGAGAGACAGAGAGAGACAAAGAGAGACAGAGACAGAGACAGAGGAAAGAGAGAGACAGACAGAGACAGAGGAAAGAGAGAGAACCAAACCCCAGATGCACTAACTAGCCCCTCTCTAATACAGTTCAGCCTCTGTTGTGTCTTCAGCCATGAGAGCCCTAAGGCAGAACTTCCCCCCATGGAGCTGTTCTGGAATACCTTGCTGTGGAAGATAATAAAATGGTTATTGTGAGCCACTAAGTTATGCAGTAAAACAGAAATGGAACACCAAGAAAAGGTAGTGACAAGAATCCTACCTTATTATGATTTGCTAAAAGATTAACCTTGGAAGCAAAGATACCCAGTATTGCCATTTCTATTGATTTGTGCTTTACAGTCACTAAGGTGGGAGCGTCACATACTTGGGCCATATAATAAGTCCTGGGAAACCATTTGACCTGGCCCTGCCAAGGCAGCCACAAGTGGGACTAGAAATTCACAAATCTAGGGCTTTCGTCAAAGTGAAATTGAATAAATCCAGGCCAGTGACTATTATAAATATTCAAATGAAAGAAGAACAAGCTTTCCAGACTGCAAAAGTGTGAAATAAAGAAAAAATGTTAGAACAAAACTGTAATTTTTTGTAGGTGACCTGACTGTCTACATAAAAAAACTCAAAAAGAATATGTTATTAATATTCCATACTTTATAAGCATAAAACCATACAGAAAGAATTATAAAAAGACGTACCTCGGGCTGGGAATGTGGCTTAGTGGTAGAGTGCTTGTGTATGAAGCCCTGGATTCAATTCCTCAGTACCACATACACAGAAAAAGCTGGAAGTAGTGCTGTGGCTCAAGTGGTAGAGTGCTAGCCTTGAGCAAAAGAAGCTCAGGGACAGTGCCCAGGCCCTGAGTCAAGCCCCAGTACTGGCCAAAAAAAAAAAAAAAGACTTAGCTCTAATTTCAATAATTAGTTTTGAAAGATGCATGCACAAATCTTACAAAGCAGAATAAGTCTAGTGAAAATGCTAGAACTCTATAAAGATGATTATGAAACTTTATTGAAGGTAACCAAAAAAGGGTGTTTTGTGGGTTGAAAAATTCAGTACTTTATAGATATCAATTCTTCCCAAATTGATTTAAAGCTTCAATGCAATCATTATGCATTCACTAGACATTTGAAAACTGGTTTCCAATATGATACAGAAATGTAAAGAGCCACTAATAAGAGAACTCACTTCCCCAGCTATCCAGGTTTTTAAAAAATATAGTAATTAGTGCTTAGTGGTTGAGTGCCCAACTAGCAAACATAGACCCTAAGTTCAAATGTGAATAAAGGTGTAGAAAACAGACAAATGCTAACACAAAACTAGTGCAGAAACAGCCCACACATATATTGTGACATACAATGGATAGTGCTTTTCTTTTTTTTTTTTCTTTCTTTTTCTGTCAGTGCTGGAGCTTAAACTCAGGCCTGGGCACTGTCCCTTTTGCTCAAGACTAGCACTCTACCACTTGAGACAGAGCACCACTTCCAGCTTTTTCTGTGTATGCGGTACTGAGGAATTGAACCTGGGGCTTCATGCATGCTAGATAAGCACCCTACCACTAAGCCACATTCCCAGCCCCTGGCTAGCACTTTTCGATTAAATCTGTGACAAATCTGTCTGGGTAAAATATGAAATTAGACCCTTACCTTACACCATTCACAAAAATCAATCCCAAAAGGATTTAAAACAAAACAACTAATGCTAAGCCAGGAACTAGTGGTTCACATCTATAATCCTAGCTACTAAGGAGGCTAAGGTCTGAGGATTGTGGTTTGGAACAAATCTGGACAGAAAAGTCTTTGAGATACTTATCTCCAATTAACCACCAAAGCTGGAAATGGAGCTGTGCTGTGACTCAAGTAGTAAAGTACTAGCAAAAGCACTCAGGGAGAGCCCAGGCCCTGAGTTCAAGCCTCATTCCTGGTTAAAAAACAAACAAACCAAAAAAAACCTTATGTCTCTTTTTTTAGGGAAAAAAGAATAGAGCTCAGTGTAGGGAAGAATTTCCTAAATAAGAAAATAACTGATTATGCTCCGAGGCTCCAGAAATGGAGCTATGGTTCAAGTGATAGAGTGCTAGCTGTGAGCCAAAAAGCTTAGGGACAGAGCCCAGACCCTAAGTTCAAGCCACAGGACTGGTTCCAAAACAAAAGCTAGAAGAGTGGCTTAGGAATATTGTGCCTGTTCACCAAGTGCGAAGCACTGAGTTCAATCTTTAGTACTTCCAGGAAGAAAAAGAAAAGAAAGAAAACAAACAACCAAACCAATATATATATATATATATATATATATAAGAAAAGAAGCAGGAAATACAGAAATGGATGTCTCAGATCAATTCATAGTTCTACAGTATTTGTATCACATACCTTTACAGGAATTTTCTTATCAAAATCAGGGAAGTGAATTAGCTTATTTAGCTTAGACACATACAGTATCATTATGGTGGCTGCCATCTGAAGGAAAGAAAAAAACTTCAGCAAAATAGGAAGATCCTTGAAGTATGACATCATTAGAAGGAAATATTCTCAAAAAGCATGATAAAAAGAAACATTTTCTAGGTTCAGAAAAAAAAAAACACATAAGCATTACATGGAGTATTGACTGCTTTTTCTGCCATTGTACACATTCTGTTGAAAGTATAGACAAAATGTCACACCAAATAGACACACACACACACACACACACACACACACACACACACATGATCTCAGGGCTCTAGGTAAGGTGGCAGGGACAAAAACGAGTACTGTCCCAAGAATGACAGGTGAGACTTTGCAGTAAGCCTAGACCATTATGCTCATGTATTAAGCTTAGACTCATGCTCCCCCATTAATGGCTAGCACAGAGAACAACTGAAGAAAAGAAAATCCACACATTAAAAAAAACATGCATAAGATATATTAAGAGAACAAAGACAAATTTTTTTTTAAATGGTCTTATTTTTCTCTTCAATCAAATAAGTGTTACAGCAAAGATCTACCATTCAGATCCTATATTACAGCCAGGCACTGGCGGCTCATGTAAATCTACTATAATCTACTCAAGAGGCTGAAATATGAGCATCACAATTTGAAGCTAGCCCAGACAGAAAAGTCTGTGAGACACTCTTCTCTCCAATTTACTGCCAAAAACCAGAAGTAGAGATATGGCTAAAAGTGCAGAACATCAGATTTGAACAGGAAAAATGAAGTATCAGTGTCCAGGCCCTGAATTCAAGTTCCAGTACCAGCACACACACACACACACACACACACACACACACACACACACACACACCTCTTATATATATATATATATATATATATATATATATATATAGCCAATGTTCACTAGTTATGTTAGAAATAGTTTTAGTTAGAAATAGTATTATTATTTTCAAACTTTGGGCATCATTTTGCTATGCAGATTTTAGAAAAAAAATTGCTTCATATGATTGTAATCCTACTTCATGATTCTAATGAGTTTAAAAGGAATTACCTACCCATATGTTTACATAATTCAGGCCCTTTATAAATTTTAAGTATGAATTATAATACATAATATACATTATAATACAATAATATTATTATTGTAGTTTTGCCTTGTTTTACAGTTCTTAAACTGTGTAATATCATTTATTTAAAATAAATATAATTCAGTCTTAAAATTAAACCTTACTAATCTGTGTGTGTGTGTGTGTGTGTGTGTGTAGGTAGGTGGATGTGTACAAGCATGTGGGTGTGCATACCCACATGCATATGCAAGTTCCAGTCCCAGGGCTTAATTTAAGAGCCTAGGCTCTGTCCATGCACTTTTTTTGCTCAAGGACAGCACTCTACCACTTGAGTCATAGCTCCATTTCTGGCTTTGTGGTGGTTAACTGGAGATGAGTTTCAAAGACTTGACTGCCAGACTGGCTTCAAAGGGTGAGCCTCAGATCTTAACAACCTGAGTAGCTAGGATTACAGGTGTGAGCTGCTGGTGCCCAGCTGGTAGTCTCCTCCTGAACCAGTTATAAATCAGAAAAGTTTATATGTACGTAAGCATAACCCAATGGGTTAAAAAATTCAGTAAATTTGGAGATTACCTAGGACACATGATCACATATTCACTGAACTTTGATTATTTTTAAACTGATTCCAGGGAAAGTAAAGACCTCACACTTGTTCAGCTCTCTTGCTTCATTGGCATTCCACCACTTAAGCCATGCCTCCAACCAATGGAGTTTTGCAGACTTTTTTCTCTTGCTGGCTTTGAATCACTATCCTCCAGATCTCAGCCTCCTGAGTGGATAGGATTATAGGCCTATGTCACTTGACAACATCTTTTTTAAAGTGACTTTTATTGTATATATTTTTACATTAAAACCTAAAGATAATGTCTCCTGGTCATAAGGAAACATTCCCCTGTTATAATTTTTTCTTCCCTAAAATAATGTAAAAAGTTATTTCTTAACAGAACATTGAAGCAGAATAATGTTTACAGCCTTTTCTGGATTCACAACTTAAAATGTAGTGACCAAGTGTTGGAGGGTATAGCTCAGTGGTACACTTGATACTTAGCAGGTATTTAGCCAAGGCCCTAGGGTTTATTCTTAGCACCAACATAAAAAGAGTTTCAGGAAACAATTTCCATAATTTTAAGCTTTTTGTCCATAAATTAAAACAATACCAAATCCAAAGTTATCTGCTACTCATTACTGTTGGTCTTATGAGCAGCACAAAGCAAAAGAATGAACAAACCATATTCATATTCATGAGAAACTCAGCAACAGTCAAATGGGCTTAGTTTGAAACCCATCCTTCTATTTAAAAGCAAAAAAAAAATCACAAACTACAGGGAGCAAACTGGAAATGTTCTTCTTGATCAACAGAGTTTTATAAAACTCAGAATCACTGTGAGCACTAGAAGGCTCACACCTATGAGCCTACTATTTGTGAAGCTGAGATCTGGGGATCCAAGTTCAAAGCCCGTTGAAAAAAGAGTCTGTGAGATACTTACCAAAAAGCTGAAAGTAGAGCTGTGACTCAAATAATAGAACACTAGTCTTAAACAAAAACAAAAAGTTCAGGGGCAGCACATAAGTGAGTGTGAGAGAGAGAAAGACAGACAGACAGACAGACAGACAGACATAGAGAGGGAGGCAGGGAAGGGGAGAGGAAGGAAGGCAGGAAGGTAGGAAGGAAAACTGAATCCATTGCCAGCATGTACAGATTTGAAACTTTTATATAAAAATTCAAATCCCCTTTTCTCTTGAAAAACTAAAGTATGGTCATCGTGGGTCCATTCTCATCTCCTCAGCTGTTTGCCTATCAGTGCAGTGCCTCAACATAGGTATGTGAAGTGAGCATCTGAGGTAGATCTAGGGTTATCGCCAGTCCACCCTGGCCTGAGCACACTCTTTTGTCACCCATTGTCCTTCAGGACTTTGGAGTCTTCTGGACCCTTGCCGTAGAGTAATTCAGTTCAATTCAATTAAAGAACTTAAAATAAGCAGCTGTTTTCCCACAAATACAATTGTTTGCAGACTGTAGAATGAAATAAAATGCATCAATATTTCATGGGTATCTGATCATATGGCCTCCTGCCAGTTGAACCAATTTATCAACCAGCGTTTTCAATAAAAACACTTAAAGTATAAGGCACTAGTGGCTCTTGCCTGTCATCCTAGATACTCATCATGCTGAGATGTGAGGATTAAAGTTTGAAGCAAGCCCAGGCAGACAAATTCAAGAGACTCTTATCCCCAACGAACCAGCAAAAAGCTAAAAGTGGAGGTGTGGTTCAAGTGGTAGAACACTAACTAGCCTTGAGCACAAAAGCAAAGCAAGAGCATGAAATCCTAAGTTCATGCTCCAGTACTAGCATAAAACCAAAAAAAAAACAAACAACAACATTTAAAGTGTCATCATATATACCAATAACTAATTAAGAGACAGGTTTTCTTTTTTCTTACTTACCTGTCCAATTCCAAGAACAATCGGTGATGGGAAGCTACAAAGAACACAGAATAACAAATCAGTTCAATAACAAATAAAAATTTGAAGAAAATATATAAAACATGATAGGAGACAATGGAAGCTTAATGGCAAATTTACTCACTTGTCACTTGTACATTTCTTTTTCATATTTTTAATTGATCATTGCTAAACTCAGAAATTTTCTTTTGCCCTTTGTGGGCAAAACAGATATGATTATGTATATAGAAAAAATAATCAGATGATATACTATTAAAATTAATAAAAATAACTTTAGGAAGGATATTGAATATAGAAGAGTATACAAATGTAAAAAACTATAAAATGCCTATGTACAGAAAACTATAAATTGATATTAATAAATAAAGACCTAAATAAAGGTCACAGGTTAGAAACTTAATAATCTCGTAATGTTTATTATCCTCAAATTGACTTATAAAATTAATCAGTGCAATCTCACAATGGATATTTTATTAAAACAAAACAGTTTATCTTAAAATTGAATGGAAAGGCAAAACCCCAAAACCACCCAAGACAATCTTTTTTTTTTTTTTGTGGGTTGTGGGTCTTGAACTCTGGGCCTGGGCACTGTCCCTCAGCTCCAGTTCCAGGCTAGCATTCTACCACCTGAGCCACAGCACCACTTCCAGTTTTCTGGAGATAAGAGTCTTACAAACTTTCCTGCCTGGGCTGGCTTTGAAAACTTCAATCCTCAGATCTCAGCCTCCTAAGTAGCTAGGATTACAGGCGTGACCTACCACAGTCCCACTACCCATGGAAATCTTAACAAAGAACAAAACAGAGCCAGGTGCCAGTGGCTAGCATCTGTAATTCTAGCTACTCAGGAGACAGATCTGAGGATTACAGTTCAAAGCCAACCCAGGCAGAAACGTCCAGAAGAGTCTTATCACAAAAAAGCCAAATGTAAACCTGTGACTCAAGCCCTGTGTTCAAGCCCCAGGACTGGCACCAAAAAAAAGCAGGAGAATTATTCTTCTGGGTATCAGGATTCATTTGCTATAATAAATGAGAGTGGCCAGATGCCGATGGCTCACACCAGTAATCTTAGCTATTCAGGAGGCTGAGATCTGAGGATCATGGTTCAAAGCCAGCCCCGGCAAGAAAGTCCTTGAGACTCTTATCTCTGGAAGGGGTGCTGTGGCTCAAGCGGTAGTGTGCTCGCCTTGAGCTGAAGAGCTGAGGGATAGCATCCAAGCTCAGAGTTCAAGCCCCATGACCGACCAAAAACTAAATAAATAAATGAGAGTGTGTGATACTTGCACAATGACAAGTGGACACCTGATTTAGGATAATGATGACACTGTGGTGGGTAAGACAAAGTCATAATGTGCACACAGACCCTGGTCCCTACCTCAGTCAACAAGGTCGCAGTTTACCTCAACTGGCTTGCCCACTACTCACCCATTCTCAGGCTCCCATACATTCTCTTAGGCTACTGCGAAAAGCTAAAAATATCACCAAAACAGCAAAGAACAAAAGAAATATAGAAAGAGGAACAGGAAGGAAAGAAGGGAGGGAGGGGGAAAAGGGAAGGAGGGAGGAAAGGAGGGAGGGATGGAGGGAGGGAGGGAGGAAGGAAGGAAGGAAGGAAGGAAGGAAGAGAGAGAAGGAGTGAGGGAGAGAAGGAGCAAGGGAGGGAGGGAGGGAAGGAGAGAGGGAAGGAGGGAAGGAAGGAAGGAAAGAGGGAAGTATGTTTTCCTAGAGGATGTTGAAGGAATGACTAGATATTATCACCCTGAGAAGAAAATAAACTCTAGTGGATTCTGGTGGTGCCACCACAAATCTCATTCCTGACCAAAGCTCTCCTTCCCCAGATTGAGTGAAGATTGCCTGACAGTAGCATTCCAGCCTCCTAAAGCAGCCTGCATCCAATTACCAATTTATATGAGGCATAAAGGCCAAGACCCCCTCACCCCAGTTCAGGACAATTCCACAAAGCCATCCAGTTGAAGAGTCAATCCCTGGGCTGAGGCCTTTGTTGTGACTGCATCATAGCTCATTCTCTCAATCTTTCCACTCTTATCTCCCAGTAGGTCCATACTATACCACCTACATTCAGCCTGCAACACTGAGTAAAAATTACAAGATGACCATCCAACAGTGCAACACCAACAACAAATGGCTTACAGAAGTAAGACTAATGTATCCAATAGAAGGAACACTCTCTAATTGCTTCAGTCTACAGAACACATTAGTAAGAACAAGGACAATAAAACAAGAGCACAAAATCAGTTAGAAAAGAGCCAACTGCGATAAAAAGAGAACAAACAGATCTCTGGAAAACCAGAGAGGGCAAAATGAAAAAATCGCCACACAAATAAATACCTTTCAAAACCCAAGGAACCAGATGGCCATTGTTGAAATTGAGCTGCCAACACCAAGGCAAGTACAGTGAATCTGAAGGAGAAGACAAATTCTGAACGACAAATACAGATAAGAGAGACCAACAACACTGAGTTAGCCTGATGGAGTTAGCTTGGTCTGGACTAAATAACTCAACACAGAGAGAAAAGAAGATGGTTCAGCACAAAAGACTAGCTTTTCTGACATGAAGAAGAATCTTCAGAACTCAAAGCACACAGTGTAACAAAAAAAATCTGTTGAAGAATGTTCAATGATAGTAAAAGAACAGTCATGAATTCTCCACAAAAACAAAACAAAACAACCCTCTCCCCCCACAAAACCTGATAATGGAATCACAGCTGTGATCTGTGATGAGGGGAAATTATGCAAAATCTCAGGACTGGGGACACTGTGGTAAAAGGGCTTGGTGGTTATTTTATCCATTTAAATATACAACAGATTCAAAGAGCCTGGTGTAACTGGTGCACGTCTGTAATCCTACCTATTCTGGAGGCTGAGAGCTGAGTATCTCAGTTCAAAGTCAACCCTGGGAGGAAAGTCTGTGAACCTCTTACTTCCAATTTAACAAAAAAAAAACTGGAAGTGAAGTTGTGGCTCAAGTGGTAAAGCTCCAACCTTGAGTGGAAAAAGCTAAGGGATCTAAGGGAGGGTGTGAGGCCCAGAGTTAAAGCCCCAGTAGTCTCACACACACACACACACACACACACACACAAGCTAAGATTACAAAATAGTGCAATACACTATCAAAAAGACATGAAGGGTGGGCAGACACAGGAAAGAGGATGTACCTATCTTCATATCTCAGAGAAGAGAAGTTATACATATCCAAAACTGAAACACAGGTTTAAAATTTACATGGTAAGGTGAGGTTTAACTCAGTGGTCAAACTCTTCCCTACCCATAGACAAGGCCCTGAGCTCCATTCCCAGCACTGCCAAAATAATACTATCAATAGTGATAACAATAATAATGACTATAACTCTTTATGATGGCAACTTCTTAACGAAGCTGTCTTGAATTCAGATCCTCCTGCCTCTTCCTGCTGGGATTACATGGCCTGTTTTTGTTTTTAAATGTAGACTTTCAATTCCCACCACTGGAGATACCCATTCAGTAGCTTTTACAGACACCTCCCACCATGATTCAGACTCCCAGGCTTGTTTGGAAGCCTAAAAGTAAACCACAGTGCCCAAATCCCTGTGATGAATCATGAAAGTAAATACACCGGAAATACTTATTTGTTGATCTAAGTGCAACTAACTCCAATCATTGTATTAAGCATTACTAGTAATGCTTAACTACGTTCTTGCACATCAGAGAAAACAGTATTAAAATGGGATAAAGAAAAAGACAAAAATAAAAATCCAATCCTGCCCATGCAATTGTAACCCCTCTGTACAGTATGTTCACAAATAAAATCAAATAAAATTAAAAATAAATAAATAGATAGATAGATAAAAAAATAAATAAAAATCCAATGCAGACCACCTTTGCCATCCTTTTGAGTCTGATTCCAAAGCACCATTAGTGGAATGGACTGGTCACAAACACTGGGATGATGTTGCCTCTTTTCCAGCCACATCTGGGTGTTGTATTCCACTTCCTTCTTCCCAGTCAGGCAAATCTAACATGACAATGAACTAAAGCCAACAAGTAACTAAGACTACTCAACTAGAAATGAGAAGAGTAAGAGGAAAAAAAAATCCCCTGAGCTACATTCCCAGGACACTATGAATTAAGAAGCTATAAAAAAAAATCACTCCTTCTGTCCTCCAACACAAGATTCTGTGCTCAAACAGCTAATACCAGGATCTGATTTCTAATCATTTATTGTTGTAATTAAATCACCCCAACATCCCTACCTTCAAAAATGTATGCCTCAAGCATTTTGAAATGGGACAATGAACAGTATCCAAGCAGAGCTCTCAAACTACCTAACATATAACATTACAGAAATGTGAAGAAATGTTTATTTATAAGGATTATAAGGATTGGTGCCTTATTGGGCATGCATGCATAAATAAATAAATAAGTAAATCAATCAATCAATCAATCAAAAACTTTCATTTCCTCCTTCAACCCTGGAACTCTTTTTCAATGTTAAGGATTGAACCCAGATCTCCCACATCCTTGGCAAGTACTCTATCACAGAGCTACAGATCCAGCCCTGGAACTGAAATTTTAAAGATGAAAAGATTCATCCCAATGTTTCGTGTTGGGATATTCTTTATCTTTAATGCACTGATCCCTGTCTACTGGTCCCTCTCTAACAAGGAGAAAGTGTATTTAAAGGTATCAAGTATAGTGGCCAACTGTCATTATCAGCCTTCCTATAGCATAAGTACTGACTCCTCCCATGTTCTGTCTCTCCCACCCCCTCCATACCCCCAATACTGGTGCTGTCACTGGAGGCTAGCACTCTACCACCTGATATAAAAGTCTCTTGGACTTTCCTGGGCAGGCAGGTCTGATCTCCTCAGTAGCTAGGATTACAGGTATAAGAAACCAGCACCTGGCTCCTTTTCTTGTCCTTAATTGTAGATGCTGAACCTTTCTTTTTCTTTCATTAGCTTGCACTGTTTTTGCTAAACAGTTCAGACAAGTATAGCCTTCTATTTCTCTGATACAGGATTTATTGTCTGTGAACACCAGGGAGTCTGTTGCAATCCCTGTTGCAGACCTTCAAGTCATTTCTTCCCTCCAGATCCCCTGTCTTCTCTCATTACTCCATACCATCTTTACCTAGGACACTTCAGTGGCACTGGCTAGTCTCCCCAATGCCAATACCATCAGTTCTTCAGTTCTCAGTTCTCCATCCACCCACCACCTAAACATTTTTTTTTCCCCCAGACCTAGGGCTTGAACTTTTTTTTTACTGTCCCAGAGCTTTTTACTCAAGGCCAGCACTCTACCATTTGAGCCACAACTCTACTTCCAGACTTTTTTTTAAAAAAAGCTTATTGGAGCTAAGAGTCTTATGGACTTGCCTGCCCATCTGGCTTCAAACCTCAATCCTCAGATCTCAGCCTCTTGAGTACCTAGAATTACAAGTGTGGGCCACCAGCACCCAGTCTAAAACTTCTTTTAATCAAAAAACTTATGTTAGCTGGGCACCTGTTCAACACCATCCTGGGCAGAAAAGTCCCTGAGACTCTTAGCTCCATTTAACCACCAGAAAACCAAAGTGGCACTGTGGCTCAAGTGGTAGAGCACTAGCTTTGAGCACAAAGAGGCTCAGGGACAGTGCCTGGGCCCTAAGTTCAAGCTCTCATGACTGACCAAAACAACAACAACAACAAAGTCATGTCATGTCACTCCTAAGTTAAAACCTTCCAAGGGACTCCCAATTACACTGAGACCAAAATTAAAACTATTCATTAAGGTCTTCCTACTTCTTCTAATATATGCTTATTGGATGAACCAAAATGATTTTGATACTCTTGCTCCTCAGCTGACACCTCCACCCCAGGGCTCCGACCTCACTCAAAATGGATGCCAAGACCTCACCTAGGTATCATCCCTACCTAAACTCTTCACTTTTCCAATCCTACAAAATATTCTTTTCTCCCTCTCTCAGAGTGGCTCACTCCCTCACCTCTCGCAAGCCCTGTGACTTAATCATACTAAGTACGGAGGTCTCTGTAAAAACTCCACAGTATTCAGACCAATTCTGAATAGCTGGACACAGAGAGATTTCTGGACCATAATGTACCAGAGAGGGAAGTTCTGTGCCCTGTGTCTCATACCACACCCTATCTGTGTCTTCATCCATTAGTACCCCCGGTAATACCCTTTGTAATTAACCAGTAAATGACATTTGACATTTGACAAATGCCACGCTATCTAAAACTACAAGTCTCTTTCCTGCCTTGTATTTTTCTCCAGAACCCTATAAATGTTACTAGTTTATTATTGTTCCATTAGGAAGAGGGTGGGCTTTTTTCTGTTCTGCTCTGTTCATGCGTTACCCCAGTGCCTGGTACAGAACCTGCTACATTGAGGTTTCAGGGGGAGGTTTATTGGACAATGATCTGATTCTTGCCACCTACCCACTTCTACCTGGGTAGTCTGGCTTACTCCATTCCAGCCAGTGGCTTTCTCTCTACTCCTCCAGCATGGCAAGCTCATGCCCACTTCAGCACACATTCCTTGTCTGGAATTTTCTGGGGCTAACCCCTTGGTTTCAAGGTATATCTGAAACTGCCTTGCTTGTTCTTGAACCTATAGCAGGTGTTTTGGGCTGTCCACAACTGGTTCTAGGTGCGCAATAATATCTATTGCACGTATATGGATCTCATGTGAGTCTCAGTTTTCCACTCCCAGCTGTCTCTGGGCTCTTGAAAGCACATAGGAAACCCAGGAGGTCATTCATTAGCAGGCCTGTGATCATACAGTTTTCACACCTGAGGAAAATGCTGACTGTGGAACTAGTTCCGAGTCACAGATCTCTAAACCAGCAGGGCTAGCTTTAATTCTCCTCTTCTTTCAAGACTGTCACGACTCTGGCAGAATTCAACAGGATAGTCCTTACAAATCTGTTCCAGGAAGCCCACATTCGCTAATCTTATACTTTACACTAATTGTTTTCCATGAACGAGCTGGTTCCTTAAGAATGAACGGTCAATGGGTCCAAACCAATCTGTGAGACATCTAGCATTGTTTAGAGAATGGTTCGCTTTAAAACGCACTTTTAAATCACTCTCAGGTGCATATTCAAAGGCATGCACCAAGCAGCTCTCCAGGCAAGGCTGGGCGGCAATAAGGAGTTCAGGGAGAGTGTGACCCACACAGCCTGGACGCACCGAGAGCGGTGCCGTCCGGCTCACCTCACACCCAGGCCCCTCCCCAGGGACCTTCCCCCCCTGCAGACCCCGCCTCACCCATAGGTGGTCAGCAGTGCCTTGTTGACCAGCACGATGAGGAAGGAGCAGATCCCGTAGAAGAGTGCCGACAGCAGCTTGACCGCCCGGGAGGGCAGCCGCGCCGCGTCGAGTTCCGCACCCTCCGCCTGGCCATCGGCCTTCATATCCTCCCCCGGCCCAGCGACTCCCCGGGCCGGCCCCAGCACTGGCCTGGCCCACGGTGCCCGGCACGGATGGGTCCCCGCCCCCGGCCGGCCCGGGAAGAGGGCGCGGCAGGAACAGGAAGAGCCACGGAGCGAGCCCTAGATGCCGGCCCGCCCCCTGCCAGCGCCCCGAGTGTTTCTGGACCGGAGCCTCGGAAGCACCCTCTAACGCTCTGCAAGGGCGTTGGGGAAAGTTCCAGACTGTTCTGCAGGGACGTAAAACTTCATGAAGTTGAGGCTTCATTTTGCTTTTTTTTCTTAAACTTGCAGTTAGCATGCAGTAAATGATGAGAATGTTTCCATCTTTCAAACGTCCCTCTGCGACCCTTTGGGATTAATTCTCCCAGCTCATCGTTCTCTGTTCCGTGGGCTGCATTCACTTTTTCCAGAATTTCATGTAAATGTGCAGCTTCTCTCGAATTCAGGTAAAGGGATGCATACTCCCAAGGCTCGTTCCTCACTCAGTGGAGAGTTCTGTGTGACCTGGCCGCGGTGAAACGTTAGGAGTGGGTTTGTTTCTACACTCACCAGGGGATTGGCAGATTTGGTGTTGTCAATTTTAGGGCTATTATGAAAATGGCTTTCATGAGTATTGGTGGGCAAATATTTTCGGTGTCATAACTGATACATTTGTAGGAGTGTACGAGGTAGGGGGTAAGTCTCAGGGCTTTTCTTGTCTCTGGGTGTTTGGGGGTAAGGGGTAGATCTGTTCTCATTTCAGGGCCTTTTTTTTTTTTTTTTTTTACCACGATAGCAGTGTAGTAATGAACTGCATACAGTAGGCAGAATCCACCTGCTCTAGCTTTTTTCTTTTTCAAGTGAATGTCCCATGTTTTCATCTCAAACTATTTTTAAAATCTGAAATGTAAGCTGTTTAGAAATGCCACAATTTCCAGTTATATGACGTTGAAGCCTAAATACATAGACACCAGGACAAATGTTTTCCTATTTCAAGTCCCAAACAACCAAAGGATGGAAAGAAACACTTTCCACCTTAAAACAGAACTTTTGAAAGCAGCTAGCACTAGAAAGGCCAAGAGTCCAAATTACTCAATCAGAAAACAAATGTCCTTGGGCTGGCAGTGTGTCTCAAGTGGTATAGCACCAGCTATGATCAAGCAACCTGACTGAGAATATTAGGCCCTGTTCAAACTCTGGTGAGAGGGAGGAAGAAGGGGGAAGGACATAGGGAGTGGGAGAGAGGGAGAAGAAGAGTGAGAGAGGGAGGGAAGGAAGGAGAGAGAAAGAGGGAGAGAGGGAGGGAGGGAGAGAGAGAGAGGTAAAGAGAGAGGTATCGAGCTGGGTGCTGGTGGCTCATGCCTGTAACCCTAGCTACTCAGGGGCTGAGATCTGAGGATCACGGTTCAAAGTCAGCCCGGGAAAGTCCGTGAGACTCTTATTTCCAATAAACCACTAGAAAGCCAGAAGTGGTGCTGTGGCTCAATCAGTAGAGCACCCACCTTGAGATGAAGAGCACAGGGACAGCGCCCAAGCCCAGAGTTCAAACCCCACAACCAACAACAACAAAAAAAAAAACAGAGAGAGAGAGAGAGAGAGAGAGAGAGAGAGAGATCCATTTAAAATAGAAAGTGAATTCATACTGCAAGTTCAGCCAAGAATCTGAATCACATTGGCTAATTCCCTCCAACAGTTCTATTATTATTTAAAAATACTGCAAAGCAGTATTTTTGAAGCCATTTTTATTGCCTTACATACATGAGATCCTAAGCAGTTCCCAGCAACACATACTTTTAGTAGTGGCTTGCTTTCCTTAGTTTCCATTCACTTTAAAAATCCCCATTTTTACATTGGCTTTTTCTTTTTTTGGTGCTGGTCCTGGGGCTTGAACTCAGGACCTAGGCACTGTCCCTGAGCTTTTTAATGCTCAAAGCTAATGCTCCTCCACTTCAATCACAGCTCTACTTATGGCTATTTTTTGTCTGTCCTGGGGCTTGAACTCTGGGCCTGGGTGCTGTCCCTCAGCTCTTCAGCTCAAGGCTAGCTGTCTACCACTTGAGCCACAGCGCCACTTCCGGTTTTCTGGTGGTTTATTGGAGACAAGAGTTTCCCGGACTTTCTTGCCCGGGCTGGCTTTGAACTGTGATCCTCAGATCTCAACCTCCTGAGTAGCTAGGATTACAGGCATGAGCCACAGGCACCCAGCTTACTTCTGGCTTTTTTTTTTGACAGTTTATTGGAGGTTGGAATCTCAGACTTTCTTGCCTAGGGCTGGCTTCAAACATCTTCAGATCTCTGCCTCCTGATAGGATTTACAATGTGCCTTGGATGCTCAGCATTTTTTTTTTTCTTTTTCACCATTTAAATCACAACTCACACTAACACTAAAAAGATGCTTGGGAATTTTTTGCACAATGAAGATCAGGATGAGAGATAACAGATGGAAAAAGAAAGCCAATTTATAGCAAAGGAAACAGGCTCTCTCAGTGGATTCTTGGTAAAATGATTCCAGATTCAATATATGCTGAATGTAAGTGAAGTGAAATTCCAGTTCCTTATTATCCTAATTTAAGGTGTGGGATAGAGCTGACAATAATTTAGTATCTACCTACACCAGTGCATTTCTAACACAGTAATGATGAACCAGATAATGAAGTTAAGTATAATTTAAAAGGTTATAATTTTAAAGGAACTGTAATTCCCAGAAATGAGATGGTAATGAGATGTATCAAAATAATGCTGTTAGAATGTAGTAGGTTCTGTTTCTTATTACTAATTTTTTTTGGGGGGGAGGAGAATTGGGGAGTTCCTGGAATTCGAACTCAGGACCCCATTCTTGCTAGGAAAACATACTGCCACTTAAACCCCACCCCCAGCCCTTTTTGCTTCCACTATATTTTGAATAGGGTCTCACTTTTTGCCGATGCTGGCCTGGATTGTGAGCCTCTTATTTAAGTTCAATAGCTAGGATGACAGTATGCACCACTGTGTCAGCTTTTTATTGGTATGGTAGGGGCTCATCTCATGAGCTTTTCACCCAGGGTGGCCTGCAACCATAATCTTCCCAATCTAGCCTTCTGAGAAGCTAGGATTACAAGCAAGGGCCACAAGCCAGTTTATTTTTTACATATTTCAGATAATATGGTTACTATATTTTTGTAGGAAAATAAATTGCAAAATCTTTAAGAATGATACTTTAAGCTTTAAATTAAAATAAATTTTTATTCAAAGCATCTTTTAAAATTACAGCATATTTATTGATATGCTGCTAACTCTGCCAAACTACAACTTTGCCATATGAAACATAAAACTCTTCCAAAATTTGAATGTAAACCACATTTTTAAAACAAAAAGCAGTCTGAACACACCTCAAATTTTAGATGCCAATATATTTTGTCCAAATGTATCTTATATCAAAAATGAACCTCTAAAAATGTATCCATAGTGAAGTTATCATCTCTTTAATTGTTCTAATTATACAAATTTAAAAAAATGTTTCTGAAATAACTAGTGTGGTTGACAAAAGCTGACTGGAAACTAACAAAAACCCTTCCTTTTAGAAGGTCTTAAATTTTATCATCTGGCAAATACTTGCATTTTCAAACTTTGTATTGCCCTTTCTTCCTTAAGTAAAATTTCAGACTTTAAACTTCCCAAGACAGATAAATGTTGCTTTTCAATTCATATATTTACGTTCACTTAAAAGGAAAAATTCAAACAGAAAATTCAGATGCTATGCTCTCACCACATTTTTAAGTGCTCCAAGTTAAAATTCTATATACCAGATTACAAACAAAATTTGACTATTACAAATATAAATTTTCTTCTTACAAAAAACAATCCCTAAATATTTGTAATTTACTGTACAGAGGAATTACATTTTTAAAGTATGTCCTCATCATACACATTATTTGCAACTCTTATATTCAGTTTCATACTTTTGCTTCTTTCAAGACAATTACATACCTCTTTCCCCATGGCTATTCATTTTAAACTACCTGTATACTGCAATACATTGGGATTTTTGGATAAAGAAGCCTACATTTTAGATAATGTGTGAACTACATTTGTAGGATACCACCTAAACTCAAAGTAAAAAAGGCTCTGAAGAACCAATCGTTCCTTCTACTACTCTGTGGTTTACTCTAAGCAATTTTTAAATTACCATGCTATGCATGTAATTTATTTCAGCTTATAACTAAAGCTGAAGTTAACAGTTTTATGCCTACATTGGGAGGTGGACTGCTCAGATTTTCTTTTTTTTTTTAATATATAAGGTGGTGCTTAATAATTTCATTTATTTGGAAAACAAGATTTAAAACCACCACACAAGTCAATACACTTGCAGTTCAAACTATTCCAGATGCCTATATATTTGAGTAGCTAATATTCTTCTGCTGTGTTTAATTGACAGCTAAATTTAGTGAACACAAAATAGTTTGGCATGTTATTCTGAAGTAAAGCAAGAAGGTGGCTTTATGCACTGAAAATATAAATATGGAGGCTTCCATCTGCTAAAAACGCTAAACAAGCAGTACAAATAAAATTTAGTGTTTACTAACAAAAGATCCAAAACATTTCACTATACAATAACCCTGTAGAAGTCCCTTTTATTAATACAAACACAAGTGCCAAATCTCATTACAGGGCCCATAACAGATGTAATTGGTATAGATATATACACCAATTACCACGTTACCTAGACTTTGCAAGATTAATCACTCAATTTCAGCGAGTGAGAAATGTGAAATGTGCAAAAATTACCAAGTTAACAGGTAAAGGGTGACAAGTGTTTTTCAAACTTAAACATTATAGTGAATTATAAAGCCCCTGAAAGATAAAGACAGACTGATTTTACTCCACTTTTGAAAATTCTGAACTGTGGTGCAGCTTACCAAAATCTTCAACTATCTACTGTTTGACAAGTCCATGACTTAGAGCATCTTCCCATTTTTCCAGCTTATTGGGCATGCTATTTTGCAACTTTGAAACATTTACCTTATACACCCATCTTACACTTTCTTGCCTGCATCAGGGATTATATGGTATCCTTAAACATACATTGTTAAAAAAGATCTTTCAAATAATCTATTTCAACCTTCTTTGGCTATTTGTACCATTCTTTTTTTTTTTTTTCACACAAATGTCTTATTCAGAAAGTGCCTCCTGTGAGAACTGCTTCCAATGAATGCATTAAACTTGCAAAATCTAGCTTCCCACAATATGTAGTTTTCTACCCTGTACTGTGCAGTCCATATTTACAAAATATTTTAAACTTTACATCAAATCCATTTCCATAGAAAAAAAGTGCAATTCTCTCTCACCCCATATTCTGGAGCAATGACATTCTTCATAAATTTCTACAGAATAGCAGCCTATGACAAGCAAATAAGGTGCTTAGCTTATGCCCAAGGATCTACTTTGTAAGTACTCTGGGCAGTACTTTTGTACAGTGCAGTCTGTGTGCAGCCTACTGGCGAAGTGGCGCCCCAGTCAGATTGGCAAGCTCGATGAGCGCCAGGGCCCCATGCAGGCGTTCCCGCTGCTCTTGTAGCCGGCGCTGGGCACCACTCTTCTCATCTTCTTCCTCATCAGACTGAAGGTATTCCAGAGGGTCCTGCTGCTCCTGATCCGCCTTCTGAACCAGCTTGGCTTTTAAGGTGGGGGCACGCTGCTCTTTCATTTCCCAGTATCTGTGTGAAAGGTGGACACATCAATTATTTGGAACACGTCGAATTCCCAAATACTGACTTTTCTTTTTTTCAAAAAGAAGTTCCTGCTGGGCATCAGTGGCTCACACCTGTAATCCTAGCTACTCAGGAGGCTGAGATCTGACAATCATGGTTCAAAGCCAGCCTGAGCAGGAGAGTCCGAGAGATTCTTATCTCCACCACTCAGAAAACCGGAAGTGGCACTGTGGCTCAAGTGGTAGAGCACTTGCCTTGTGTTGAAGAGCTGAGGCCCAGGCCCAGAGTTCAAGCCTCATGACTGACCAAAAAAAAAAAAAAAAAAAAGATGTTCCTTAACACAGGATAGCTTTTCTGTGTTATAGCTTATATAGTTCTAGTGATTTCACATGTATCATAAATATTCCCATTTACAGAGGGTAAAACTCAATCAACCTAAAAGAAGTGAAGACTTCTGTTCAGGCTTCTATAACTAAAACCCAGCAGTTTCAAATTCCATACTCAACTCTAATTGTGTGTTTTTGCCATTAAACTTATTGCACTGGGGCTGGGGATTTACCTCAGAACTGGAGTGCTTGCCTAACCTACACAAGTCACTGGGTTCAATCTCTATCACTACAAAAGAAAGGGAAGGGAGGGAGGGGAGGGAAAGGGGAAAGGAGAAGGGAAAAGGAAAAGGAAAGGAAGGAGGGAGAAATGAACAATGTAATGTACTAAACTACAATGTATTTGAGAGCTATAAAAACAGTATTTATTATTTCATGTAAAAACGTCCATGTAAAAACGTCCATACAGTTTTACATATAAATGTTTATAATTGCTTTATTTGCAGTAGCTTAAAATAACCCAATGTCTGTCAAAAATTGACAAATATCCTCATAATTGATTATTATCCAGCAATAAGAGGAATGAATTCTTGACACACTCAAAATGGATGAATCTTAAAATAATGATGTTGAATGAAAGAAGCCAAACAGGATACATACTGTTTAACTACATTTATATAAAATTCTAGGAAAAGCCCCGCAGTGGTGACTCATAGCTGTCATACCAGGTATGTGGTTAGTGAGATCATGATTGTGGTTCCAAAGCAGCCTGGGTAGAAAAGTCTGAGAAATTACATCTCAATGGAAGAAGCTGAGTATAGTAGGATATGCCTGTCATCGAGCCATGGTGGGAAGCAAAAAACAGGAGGATCCCAGTCCAAGTGCATGCCCAGGCAGGAAGTGAAATCCTATTTCAAATATAAGGAGGTGTAGCTCAACACCAAAGCCACTTCTGAGCAAGTGCAGGAACCTGAACTTGATCCTAAATGTAGAAACAGCATGTGAAGCTGTGGGAAAGCATGACCAGGTGCTGCTGGCTAGTCTACAGCAGGTAAGTTCTTAATGCTTAAGAGAAAAAAAGTTTATATTGACCCCCCCATTGCAATATGGCATGCAAATTCTTGAAGCATTCTGTATTTTTTCAATGAGTCACAGAAGGCTTTGAAAAAGTTTATTAAGAAGACTTGTGTTTAGGGCACTACTGTAATTTCCTAACACACATTAGAATCTAATGCCACTCAACAATTTCACCGGAAATAAAGGACTTTTCAGGGTTATTTTTACAAAATATGCATAGAAGTAACTTATTTGAAATGAGAGAATCCTCAGTCCCTACCACAACCATAATGCAGACAGGAATCTTCTAAGGCGAGAATAGAGAAAGGACTTACTTTGCCAGCCACTCAGCAGCAGCCTTGTTGTCCACCGCCTGGTGTTTGCTCAGTGTGTCCGTGGGCTCCTCTCTCTTCAGCCTTGCATAAGGGTGCTTTGGACAGTGGCGATTTGCATGGGTGAATCTACTCAGGCAACCTTTAGGACATGGAAGGAAACACTTATGAGAATCCAGCCAGACAGATAGTAAAAATGTTCAGTCTTGTTAGTATCTAAGCAAAGTAAATTCAGGTAGAGATTCAACATTTTATAATGAAACAAGCCTGTACATGGTCTTATCAATGTTAATAAAAGGGACAAGAAAATTTTCTAACACAATTTGGTCATCACCAGAAAATACAAATGAAAAACATGTTCAAAAACTCTGACCTGGGAATTCTGTTCTTGGAGTCAATCATAAAGATACATCTCAAAAGATGAAAAAAGTTCCAGATGTGAAAAATATTCCTCTCAGCTTGGTTGGTAATGAACATAATTAAAAGCATGCTACATATTCAGTAGCTAATATTTGCTTAAGCAAAAATTAAGTAGAATGAGGAAGTCTGTTGAGCTTCTGCACAGTACAGGAAAGAACAGAATGAAAAGACAACTTACAGTAGGAGAATAGCTTTGCTATCCACTCATCAACGAAGATTAATACCCTAAATATATAAAGAACTAAAAAAATTACCAAAAGCAACCAAACCAAACAATGGATAAATGATCTGAATCAATTGTATGTTCTTTCTTCAGGGTATAACCCCTGTTTTCACTGTATTTGGTTCTGGTGTCCTGCATCTTGTATATACATTTTTCTAATTTGGGGAGGGAAAGGGAAATAACAAAATGCTGCAATAAGGATACAGGATGACCCATTGTAACAATGAGATGTACAAGACAGTATGTTGAAAACAACTTTGCGGGGATTGGGGCGAGGGGTGGAGAGTAGAGGTGGGGAGGAAAGGGATGGTAGGGGAAAAACAAAGGAGGGGGTAACAATGCTGGATAGAAAATAGACTCATTATCTTGCTCATGTAACTGTAACCCCTCTGTACAGTATCTTTACAATAAAAAATATATATTATAAAAAAGTTTTCAAAAGTGAAAAACATGAAAAGTGTTCATTATCTTTAGCTATGAGGGAAATACAAAAGCACAATGAGATCCCATCTCACCCATCACAACAGTAATCACTTAAAAAAAATCTTGGTGCGGATGTGGAAGAATCTTTATTAATAAGAATGTAAATTACGGCAGCACTTATGAAAAACAGTATTCAGGTTCCTCAAAAACTAAAAATAGAACTATACAACTCTTAATTTAGTCAGCATACAAAAGAAGACACCTGCACACCTATTTACTGTGGTACTGTTCACAAAAGCCAAGGAGCCAGTCTGAATGCCAGTTAGTAGATAAGTGGATTAAAAAACTATGGTATATGCAAATGGAGTGTTATTTAGCCATTAAGAAGACTAAAGTTACATCATTTGCAGAAAAATCAAAGACATCATGTTAAATAAGCTGGACACAAAAAGGTAAGTATCAGAAGTTTTCTAAATATAAAACTAAATGTTAAAAAGTCTGTAATCATTTGTAACATAATAAAAACTATAAAGAAAAGTAACAGCACTGTACTAAATTTTATAAAAAATATAGCAAAAATCTATAAATTGTGATAAAAGATTGGTTAATATGCTTATTTCAGTTTAGTATTTGAAAAGTTTAACCAGACACAATAGCTTCTGCCTCTAATTCCTACTCAGGAGGCAGAAATTGAGGACGGTAGTTCTAGGCCAGCCTGAATGAAAAGTTAGCAAGACCCACATACCAACAAATAAACAAGGAATGGTGGTTCACAGTATAATCCCAGCCATGCAGAAGGTATAAGTTAGAGGACTGTGGTCCAGGACAGCCCCAAGGAGGGGAGGGAGAGGTAGTAAGACTCTATCTGAAAAATAATTAAAGCTCCGGATACCTCAAATGGTAAGTTAACTGCCAAGTAAGCACAAGACTTGAGTTCAAACCCTGTAACCCATCCCCCCACAACACACAAAGTTGAAAACTTAAAACCAATGTAAAAGATTACTCTGAAGGTTGTATTTACTTTTATAGATATTATTATCTCCTCCTCAAAATTAAATGTAGCATTTTGAATTTTCTTTTAAGGCTTTCATATAAAAAGAATAATTTATTTAGAATTCAAGACATTTCCAAGAAATTAAGCATGGATCACAATTAACAAGAAAACGTGGGCCAGGGTGGAGCAGAGTGGTAGGATGCCTGTCTAGCATGCATTCATGCCCTAGATTTCATACTCAGCACTTGGGGATAGTGGTGGAAAGCTTATATGGTGTTTTATAAAATTGTAACAAAAATTTTCTTCCCTGAAAAAAATCCAAGTAAAACACACTTTACCTATGAACTCATTATTTTTCCAGAAACTTAACTTTAAGTACCATACCATTTTCTGAACAAACAAAAGGCTTCTCTCCAGTATGAAGACGCTGATGAGTTTTGAGCTGTCCACTTTGAACAAAGGCTTTTCCACAGTCTGGATAGTCACACAGATAGGGTCTCTCACCTAAAAAGACAGATGTTACATTATACCTGAGACAATAAGGCAACAGATCACAAATGTACAATAAAACACATTACTGTACACAAAGGGACAAGTGGCAAGGTCCCCAGCATCATGTGGGTGGTATCAAAAGAGGAAACACAGTATCCTCTTTAGGCTATGGGCTGTCCAGAATCCAGGCTTAAATCCTTGAAGTTTTTATATTTACTTTGCCTATATTTTTTATTTCCCATACTTTAAATCCTAAGCTCTTGCTGATTCTTTACAATGTCTACCACTCTTGTTTTCCATGGCTATTTCCTCTAGGATGGCCTCCAATACCACCCAACCTGAAGGGACCCTCCCATATCCTCCTAACTGGCTTCTAGACTCTTCTTGCATAGCACTTCCATAGTAGCTGGCATAGAGCTCTGTTTGTCATACCATCTACCTCCCAGATCACCCTAAACTCTACTCCATTCTTTGGACAACTGAAAATTACATGCTGACTTTTATATGTTATATAATCTTAGCTACTGGAAGGGGTCAGAATTTACCTGTATCTCCCCCAGGACAGACATTCTAGCCTGGAGGCTATTCTTTCTCATCTTTTTTTTGTTTGTTTGTTTTACTTTGATTTAGGAGTGGCCTAATTAATTTTTAAAATATAAGAGTCACCAAAATTAAATTACTTCACAAAGTAATAGTTTTGATAATAGTATCTAAAGTTAACAATGGTAATCTAATATAATAGTTTAATAATGGTATCTAATATATCTAGTAAGCTTACTTTGTAATGATTCCAAATTTAAACTTTACCGCTTTTTAGGGATTTGATTAAGAAGGGTATACTTCTGTAAACACCAAAAGAAAGAAAGAAATAGAAAGCTTGTGTGTGATGGCCCATGCCTGTAAACCTAGCTACTGGGGAGGCAGAAACAGGAGGATCAAGGTCAACCCAGGACAAAGTAGTGAGATCCTGTCTCAAAAATCAGGGCTAAGGACACAGCTCAAGTGTAGATTAATGGTTTACCTTGCACAAGGCCTCTAGATTATTAGTTCAAACCCCTGAACTGCAAAAAATTAAAAAACAGGGGTGGGGGGGCTGTCAGTAGACTGAGAGGTAAAAGTGCTATCCAACAAAAATAAACTGTAACAAGTTTCATTAGAAAGGAAAAAGGCAGCCGGTATCAGTGACTTAAATCTATAATCCTAGCTACTCGGGAGGCTGAGATCTGAGGACCATGGTTCAGAGCCAGCCCAAACAGGAAAGTCTGTGAGACTCTTATCTCCAATGAACCACCAGAAAACAGGAAGTGGCACTGTGGCTCAAGTGATAGAGTGCTAGACTTGAGCTGAAGAGATAAGGGAAGCACCCACGCCCAGAGCTCAAGCCCCAGGATCAACAAAAAATAAAAGAAAGGAAAAGGGCAGATTCATTTTAGTGTGATTTCAATACATAATAATTACTATTAGTATCAGTCTTATTTATTCTTTTTCACATTAAGTACATTTCACACTTACTGAACATCGTGATTTAGACCTCTACATTCCAAGTGCTAAGCGTCACACATATTGTCAGTGTAGCTCTCAATTTAAGGGCCAAATACATTGTAATTCAGTGGTAATCCATGTTTTGGCACTTAAGTTTCATGTATAAATTAGAGGAAGAAAGGCAATAGTGGCTCACGCTTATAATCCTAGCTACTCAGGAGGCTGAGATCTGCGGATCACAATTTGAAGCCAGCCTGGGCAGGAAAGTCCATGAGACTCTTATCTCTAATAAACCACCAAAAAACTGGAATTGGTGCTATGCTCAAAGTGTTAAAGCACTCCAGCCTTGAGCAAAAGAGCTCAGAGACAGTCAAGCCCCATGACCAACAATACATACATACATGCATACATACATACACACAAAAGAACTATAAGGTTCATTCCCCTGGGGCCAACTTTATGGAGAGAAAAATGGTGCTCTATAAATTAAGTTTGGGATCAGTGATACATGGAATATTTCTACATACAAATAAAGATGCATGAATAATCTTGGGATAGCTACTTAAACTACATTAATTCTGAAAAATCAGTTAAACATAAAGTTAATGGTTTGGTTAAACACTCTAATGGCATACTAAACACTCTAACTATTCTATTAATAATTGATGATTACTCTGGAAAATATACTTATCTCCAATTGCTCAGCAAACAAGAACAAGAATTGACAGATGAGATTACACCAAATTAGTTTCTGTATGCCAAAATAATAACCACAACCAAGAGACAATAGAGAAAAAAATCTTCACCAGGTATTCAATGAAAAATTAATATCCAGAATATAAAAAGAGCTAGGAAAGTTACACAGTGAAAGAACAAAGTAATCTAAGTACAAATGAGTTGAATACTTTTCTCATAAGAAATACAAATAGCTAATAAATATGTAAGTGTTCAACATTGTTAACCATGAAGATACAAATTGAAACTGCACTAAGATTTCATCTCATCCCATCAGAAGGACAATCATCAAGAAAACAAAAATAAATGCTGGCAAGGATGGAGAAGGGTTTTATACACTGTTGGTGAGAATGTAAACTAGTAACAACCACTATGAAAATCAGTATGGAGGTTCCTCAAAAAATTAAAACTTACGACTCTACACCACTCTTGGGAATATATCCAAAAGACAGTAACTCAATATATAAAAAACCTGTATATCAATATCCATGTTATTGCAGCTCTATCTATCTATGCCCAGCATAATGAAATCTACCAAAATCCATTTGAATTAGAATATGGCAGAGGACATGACATTTTTTCAAAGTACTATGTGCACATCTGGAAATACCACAAAACAAAAATATACTATAATATATGCTAATTAAAAATAAAGTGTTAAAAATTAGAGATTGCTGTTTTCATATTTGGCCTACAAATGAGTTTTAGTAATTAAGTCATCTTGGGGCTGGGAAGGTGGCTCAGTGGTAGAGCATTTGCCTTGCATACCTGAGGCCCTGGGTTCAATTCCTCAGTACCACATAAGCAAAAAGAAAAAAAGCCGAAAGTGGCGCTGTGGCTCAAGTGGTAGAGCACTAGCCTTGAGCTGAAGAGCTGAGGGATAGTGCCCAGGCCCAGAGTTCAGGCCCCACAACTCCCCCACAAAAAAAAAAAAAATTAAGTCATCTTAAGAGCATATCAAGTAAAATTCAGGTAGGCACAGGGTAGAACTCATTTTACAATAATATGACCATGACATCTAGCTTAATTACCACAGTAATTTTGGAGGTCACATGGAACAGATGTTCCAAATAAACTACCTCAACAAAAGGCAACTGACTACACAGTGCTTGTTTTTAAAACTTCAAAAACAACAGTGAACAATGTAAGAAAACTTAAAGGTACCAAAAATTTTTCCACTTACCTGTATGAGTCCTTTTGTGAGCCTGGAGTGATTTCTCCCTTGGAAATACCCTATTACAGATGTTACAACGGATCCTGCTAGATGAATGTTCTCCTTCATTTATTAAATCCCGAACTGTATCTGCTCTGGGTCTACCACGCCGGATTCCATCCTGTAAACAATGTTTACAAACCTTAATATAATTTATATTCACAAAAGCAATATATTATAAAAGATAAAGTCTTTCTTGAGTGACATTAGCAAAAACAGTGGGGTAAATAGTTCCAATAGCCCATCCCTCAATATAAACCATTGAAAAATTTAGGAAAAACTATCCAAATTAGTCCTGTGGATACTCAGCAAATATTGAATAAGGAGAAAGCTTTGCAATTTTTACTAGTCCGTTCTCTTTCCCTTGCCCAGTGTGTCATAACAAAGCCTATATTCCTATTGTAGGAACTTAGTCCCACCTTCCAAAGGAAACAGAGCAGACTTTATTCTGAAATAAGTGTTTACCCAAGAACTCTCCCAGAACATATAATTGATTCTTCAGAGGACAATGCTCAAAAGTCTTTCAAGGCAAATAATCTGATGCCAGATGGGCAGTTAAGAACTGAGACAAAAAGACACATTAAAAGCCTGTACGGAATAGCGGGGAGGAAGAGCGGGGAGAAAGTGAAGAAAGTTTCTTTGAAAAATTAGAGCATTAACAAATGTTCAGGGCTGGGAAGGTGGCTCAATGGTAGAGCGCTTGCCTTGCATGCATGAGGCCCTGGGTTCGATTCCTCAGCACCACATAAGTAGAAAAAAAAAGCCGGAGCAGTGCTGTGGCTCAAGTGGTAGAGTGCTAGCCTTGAGGTGAAGAGCTGATGGACAGTACCCAGGCCCAGAGTTCAGGCCTATGACCGGACCCCCCAAAACAAACAAACAAACAAACAAAAAAAAACCCCACAAATATTCAAATACTTAGAAAGCCACACATGGTTCATTTTCAGGCCAGATAGGATGCTCAGGAAAACCTTCATAGTCTCTAAAATTTTGCCTCTGCTTGATCTTTAGGCTCAGTACAGCAAAAAAAGAAGGAGTATAGTGTGGCTAAGCACTAAAAGTGTGCCCCTAAGCTTATAGCCCAATTGTAGAGTACAGAGCTCAGCTCTTACCACTACCATCATGAAAACAACAACAACAAAAACTATTCTCCAAAGACTTGGAAAATCTCTCTTTTTTTGGTTGGAAGGTGGGAGAAGAGAGTTTCAGGATTTAAGGGAATCTCTCAAAATCCTAAATGGGCAGGATGCTGGTGGCTCACATCTATCAGCTACTCAGGAGGCTGAGATCTGAGGATTGCAGTTTGAAGGCAGCCCAGGCAGAAAGTCTGTGAGACTCTTGTCTCCAATTAACCACCAGAAAACTGAAGTGAATCTGTAGCTCAAAGTGGTAAAACACTAGTATTGAGCAGCAAAGCTTAGGGACAGCACCTAGGCCCTGAGTTCAAGCCCTATGACAACAACAACCACAAAAATATCCTAGATGGACATAAACAAACAAAAAAAGAACATAAGGCTCCAGACTTTAAGCCCTCTATAGATCACCTCTGTATAATAATAAAGTAAAAAGTAAAAAAAAAAAAAAAGACTGGCAGTGTAGGTCAGGAGGTAGAGTTCTCCTTATTAAGTATGAGACGGTGTTCAATCTCTACTATCACCAGACAAACAAAAATTTGAGTATAGAAATCCTCTGCCATGAAAGGATCACTTTCTCATGGGGGTGGGGGGTGGGAGGTCCTGGAGCTTGAACTCAGGGTCTGAGTCCCCCTGCGTTCTTCAGCTCAAGGCGAGTGCTCTACCTCTTGAGCCACAGAACCACTTCTGGTTTTCTAGTGGTTTATTGGAGATCAGAGTCTCACAGACTTTTCTGCCCAGGCTGGCTTTGAACCATGATCCTCAGATCTCAGCCTCCTGAGTAGCTAGGATTACAGATGTGAGCCACTGGCGCCCGGCTCCCTGAGTTTTTTAGCTCAAAGCTAGTGCTCTATCACTTGAACCAGAGCTCCATTTCCAGCTTCTTTTTTTAGTGCTTAATTGGACTAAGAAATGTATTTATTACCTGGCTTATTAAATAGTAACCACTCTATACAACATCTAAACTGTGTGTATGTGTGGAGAGAGAGAGAGACAGTTTCAGAGCTGTTCCTGCCCAGGCTGGCTTTGAATCACAATCCTACAATCTTAGCCTCCTGACTGGCTAGGACAATAGGCATGAACCAACCATCCCTGGCTTTTCTAACATGTTATTGACTCGACTCTATGCAATTCAGAATAACTGATTTGCTATTGAATATTTAAAAAGTTATAAATGAGGTGCCAGTGGCTCATACCTGTAATCCTAGCTACTAAGAAGGCTGAGATCTGAAGGAAAGTCTTTGGGACTTCTATCTCGAATTAAACACCAAAAAGCCTGAAGTAGTGCTGTGGATCAAGTGGTAGAGTACTAGCCTTGAGTAAAAAAGCTTAATGACAGCTCCCAGCACAGATACAGGCACAGGCACACACGCACACAGAAAGATTATATATGTAACATATAAGAATATATATATAATATATAAAATACATATATATGAAAAAAGCTTGTCTAACAGAGAAGAAGACACAAAACGTTAACCATACTGCTATATTTCAAATAACACTTCAGTTCTCCACAAGCAAACTAGGTTTTCCAAAGGAGGAAGTGCTGCAAAATACAATACAATACAATACAATACAACATACTGACCACAGACAGGTAAGGTTTCACTAAATACACTCTTTTATCTGAGTCATCTAATGCCCTAAGTAAATGAAGGATCTTTTAACAATACATTTTTAAATAAGCCATACTACTTACTTAAAAAGTACCATTTTCATTTTGCTCCTAACAAAAACAAGAAAACTATGTTTCTAGGCCAGTTTTGACAATTACAGCATGAACTCATCATAAAACAACTGCATCTGTGGCCTAAGGAACAAATCTTACCAAGATTGTTGACAGTTCACAAGAAAAAGATATACCAGCAAGCAATTTCTTTTTTTTTTAATTTAATTTTATTTTATTTGTGAACATACTGTACAGAGGGGTTACAATTGCATGGGCAGGATAATGCGTACATTTCTTACCAAGCATTGCAGCCACCAGCAAGCAATTTCAAGAAGCATGATTTTTTGCTGGTCGCCGGTGGCTCACACCTGTAATCCTAGCTACTCAGGAGGCTGAGATCTGAGGATCTCGGTTTAAAGCCAGCCCAGGCAGGAAAGTTTGTGAAACTCTGATCTCCGATAAACCACTAGAAAACCGGCAGTGGCACTGTGGCTTAAGAGGTACAGCACTCACACAGGGACAGCGCCCAAGCCCAGAGTTCAAGCCCCATGATTGACCAAAAAAAAGGCATGATTTCATTACCAAAAACTTCTGCATACTTTAGTAAATGTAATTTTTTTTTTCTTTTTTTTGGTCCGGTCGTGGGGCCTGAACTCTGGGCCTGGGCGCTGTCCCTCAGCTCTTCAGCTCAAGGCTAAGCTCTACCACTTGAGCCACAGTGCCACTTCCGGCTTTTCTCTTTTTTGCTTATGTGGTGCTGAGGAATCGAACACAGGGCCTCAGGCATGCAAGGCAAGTGCTCTACCACTGAGCCACCTTCTCAACCCCTAGTAAATGTAATTTGTGTGTGTGTGTGTGTGTGTGTGTGTGTAAGAGAGAGAGAGAGAGAGAGAGAGAGATTGATCCTGGGGCTTGAACTCAGAGTTTAGGCACTAATCCTGATCTTTTTTTTTTTTTTTCTCCAGGCTACTAGCACTCTACCACTTGGCTTTTTGGTAGTTAATTGGATATAGTCTCGTGAACTTTCCTGGCCAGGGTGACTCTGAACTGCAATTCTCAGATCTCAACCTCTTTGAATAGCTAGGATTACTCAGTGGTGTGAGCCACTGGTGTTCAGCTCCTTTACTAAGTGTAACTTAAAAAAAATAATAATTTGTGTACCTCCAGAAGGCAATTAGTAATTTTGAAAATGTTTAGTTATGTGATGACTAAAAAAACTTAATTCCTTGATATTTTTATACAGTGAAATACAAATAAAGGGAATAAACATAACCTAGAAGGTAAATTAGATCTTAAAGTATTCATACTTAGATGAGAAAAACTATAATTGATCCTATTTCTCTTCTCTCATTCAGATCTAGATCCAAAATTCCTATAACCTTGTATCTGCCTCCTAACCCTTTCATCTAGATTTATCTTCACAATTTCCCAAATCTTAACTCTAATATACCTCTGGCATTGTGTATACCTTTGCATAAATCAACTGAAAGTGATTTGCTATAATATTTCATACATATTCTATATCAGCTGCTACTAAACAAATTAAAATAACTCCCTTAAAGTCAATTTATAGTCAGGCTCACGCCTGTCATTCTAGCTACTCAGGATCTTAGGTTCCCAGTTCACAGCCAGTCACAGGAAAGACCATGAGACTCTTATCTCCATACCAGAAAACCAGAAGTGGTGTTGTAGCTCAAGTGGTAGAGTGATTGCCTTGAGCTGAAGTTCAGGGATAGCGCCCAGGCCCAGAGTTAAAGCCCCCCCCGCCCCCCAAAAAAAAGTTCTGGAAGGTTCCTCAGTTCTATCACCTATAAATCTTAATCTCAAAGCCTCTTCTCTACTTTCTCCTTCCTCATCATGCAAACAAGATTAAATGAATTCGAAATGTTAAAAACATCCAACACAGAGCCAGGCAGCAGTTTGCTGCTAACATTATGAAGTGCTTACTCCATGTCAGACAGTAAATGGCAGCTAATATGCCACCTGACACAAGGTTTAACATGTTACCAAAAATTAGCATGTACAAATTTCTGTAACTCAGTTGTATGACTACATGCAGTCTAGATGTTATGTTAAAGAAAGGGGACTTGAGAAAGACAGTGGCAGGTTATAAAGGGTGAACAGTACTTAAAAAAGCCTCCACAACACAAACATAAAGTCAAGGGCATGGGGAGGCTTGGAGTAATGTTAAACCTGAAGTCTTCTCTCCCAGAATTTTACCAAACAGAAGATATGCTAACATATAATTATACACCAATAGGGGCCCCAGTAAGTTGGCAGATGGATATCCTCCTAGACAAGGGTGGCAGTGTTGGACAGCAACAAACAAAAAGCAAGAGGAAGTTGACACAGGGTTGTAGGCATAGATGTTAACTCCTCCCTTGGGAACAGTGGCAACAAGACAGTAAGTGAACACAAATGTGCTCAAACCCACAGCTGTCTTGACAATTACAGCATACTAAGAGGCATACTGAAGTCATAGCAGGAGTATGTTACTGGCACTGCCTATATTACAAACCTGCCATCCATCTTCCTAGGAAGTGAGAACATTTAGCATGATTCACAGGACTCAACAGGACAAAAAGGAACCTTACTTCATTGTTGGTGGGAATGTAAACTTGTTCAACCACTTTGGAAAGCAGTATGGAGGTTCCTCAAAAGACTTCACAT